CAGGTGGCACAGTGGTTGAGAGTCCGCCTGCCGATGCAGGGGACACGGGTTCTTGCCCCGGTCCGGGAAGATCCCACATGCCGCGGAGCGGCTGGGCCCCGTGAGCCATGGCCGCTGAGCCTGCGCGTCCGGAGCCTGTGCTCCGCAACGGGAGAGGCCACATCAGTGAGAGGCCCACGTACCACAAAAAAAAAAATTGGAAAAACATAATAGGCAAAAGGTTTAGGCCCTATATTAGTTTGCTAGGGCTGCTGTGACAAATACAGCAAATCTGGTGGCTTGTAACACAGGAATTTATTTTTTCATGATTTTGGATGCTAGAAGTCCAATATCAAGGTGTCTTGACAGAGTTTCTTTATTCTGAGGGCCTCGTTCCTTGGCCTGTAGATGGTTATCATCTCTCTGTGTGTCTTCACATGATCTTTCCTCTATGTGTGTCTGTGTCTTTATCTTTTCTTATCAGTACATCAGTCATATTGGATTAGGGACCACCCATATAATTCCGTTTTACCTTAATTACCTCTCTAATGGAATTATCTCCAAATAGAGACACATTCTGAGGTACTGGGATAGAGCTTCAACAAACAAACTTGGGGGCAGGGGGTGGAGGATGGAGCGCAATTCAGCTCGTAACACTCCACCCTCACAGCAAAGTAATATGGGCAGGACCTTATAATGTGAAGGTCTAAACAAACTGCAGAAAGATTTATCAGAAGAGGTAAATAAAATGCACAGAGAATTTACTGAAGAAATAAAACTGATAAATAAACATGACATATTTCCTATTTCCTAAAATCTGAATCAAATACATTGGAAAATGCCATTTAAATAAAGCTTACCAAACTGGCAAGAAACTGTTTTTTTAACATGATTATACCAGATAAGAAAATGCACTGTTGACGGAATTATAAACTAAACACATATTGTAAAATAAATTGGAAAAATGCACCAAAGTCAGGACCTGCTTTTGGTGATTTATAATAATAACTTAAAATATAAAGTAGGTTCAAGCACAAGATCCTTAAGACATAATTTACAATAATAAAGAACTAGAAACAAAATGTTCATAAAGGAGGAACCTTATGCAGATGTTAATATTACATAATACTGAAACACAAGAAATAACCTGCATAATGTATTAGTGAGTTAGGGAAAATATTCTAAAAGATATACATTTTTAAAAATATATACATTTTTAAAGTACATTTTTAAAGAAGTCTATACATCAACATTTTAACATCAAAAAATGAAAGTACACTAATAAGGACCTGCTGCTAAAAAAAACAAAATTCTAAATAAATAAATAAATAAATAATGAAAAAATTTGAAGTATCATAGGTGATTTATTTTCCTTTCTGTGCTTTTCTGTATTTTATAAATGTTTACAATGAATATCTATTACTTACCTAATC